GGGTGAACGTCGCGATTTTCTCGATTAGTTGGTAGTCTTCTAGAAGGATCGGACCTCTTTCTCCAACCGACATCACGGCCGTGTTGTTCCATATTGGTGCGCCTGAGTTCGTCGTGCAGAACGGCGTGTTGTACGCGCTCGAGGGGCGGTACTGTAAATTCATCATAACATACCAATGAAACAAAACACACGGTTAATTTTTCCCAATTTGGTACCATAGATTCACATTTAAAATACATCAATTTTTTCTTTAAAAAAAAAACATCAGTTTTAGCATGTATCAACTGAAATCATAGGACTGAAAAATATTAATTTGTAACCAAAATAAAAATATATTTAAACATTAAGACTTATAGCTTATATTTTAGCTAATTAAACTCTTCGTCTTATTTATTTTATTTTTTTTAAATCTAGAAGTGTATGAACTAATTTTCAAATATCTGACTATTCATATAGTTTAAATTCATTCTCTAAATCTATTTGATTTACTCTAACCGGCTAATAACACTTGAACAGTACGAAATTCTTATTATCTTGTAACGAAACGTATTGTATTTGTATATCGTTTAACAAGTTCTACTAATATTTTGCATTTACTTAAAAAAGGAGCCACACCAAAAAGTGTGAATATTCGAGTTCTTATCTACTGGTAGTCTGGTATTGGTAATATTTTTTTCCTAAACTATTTGTCTCCACTCGTAATTAATAATTCAATAGACGTTACAAAAGTAATCACATGACAAAGTCGGTGGGATCTTATTCTATTCTTTTGTGTGTACTATTATATAGAAAGTCTTATCTTACAAAAATAAAAAGAAGCAAAGAGATTTAAATAAATTAACTTCACAATCGTTTTATTAATTTGTCATGAATTCAAATCATCATACTTTACTTATTTTTTTTGTCTTGACACCTTTTTCTAACAAAAAACAATCATGAATTTGAATATCGTTCAGTACTTAAAAAGAAAAAAAAAAATCATAATTTTTTATGTACTAATATATCATGTGCTAAAAATTGAAATTTATTAAAAATATAGCTCAATAAAAAATACCTACTTAAAAACTTGCTTATTTACCCTGCAAGAAAATTTCTCATAATATAGGAAGATTACAGTCAACCTAGATATAGTTCTTATTTCAAGGATAAAAATGAAAAAAAAATTCTTTGAATGAATGTTTTTGAAAACTTTAGATAAGGTATATATAGCTCAATCAACTTAATCATAGGAATAACCTTAAACGAATCGAATTATTATTGTATTGATCCCAACAATCGATTTCACAGATTTTCCAATAACTTATTAAGAGATCAAATTTAAAATAGATCAAGTTGGCAGAAAGAATCCGAAGATGAATTAAATTAAGTTCCTTAAAAAAACAATACTTTTGTTGTTAATTTTACTAGATCATGATCCGGGTCAAGTCATCCGAAACCGAAGAATTGACCCGACTTGACCACTTTCCAAACTCAAAACAAGTACGAGACGACAAAGCGTCCGATCGGTCGGACCTGACGCTGTCGCCATCACCAAAACCACGTTTAAACCGCCACGCGCCGCCGTACAGCGAAAAGAAAAACAATAAACTCCGCCGCCGAAAACGGAAGATCTGTCTGGGCCGCCACGTTTTTCACACACACACAAGGGAAAAGAAATCCAAAGAAGGAAAGATCTGCAAAACGCTGCGTACTGAAGAGAAAAAAAAGGGACAAATAAGGCAATACCTTGTAGGGATCCATGGCGGGCGACGAGATCTGGGAAGAGAGAGAGAGAGAGAGAGAGAGAGAGAGAGGAGTTGTGAGAAGAGGAAGTGCAGAGGAGAATGGAGGAGGAAGTGGGGCTTTTATGGTTGAATTTCAACAGTGTCCCAGTTTGTTTTTACCGACAGTGGATTCGGTGTCGTTTGGGGTGGAGTGAGAGTCGACAAGTCGGAGCGGAGTCCCGAGGGGGTGAAGTGTAGTTATCTGCAACAGTGGAGAGTGTGTGGAAATGGGGCCCGAGATCTCATCGCAATCCGTAGTAATCCAATAGGGAAGTTGAGGGCGTGGAAAATTTAGCAGATATTTTTGGGATGTCGTTCCTGTCAATGTCGTTTTTCCGATGTGTCGTTCGGTAGCAAGGAAAGAAAATTCAGCCCTAGCTTAGCAATTAGCATCTCCAGTTTCCACTACCGGAGGGTTGTTTGTCCGTTCCCTATCATACGTGGCCCCAACCTACACGGTATTAACTCTATTTTCATCTTTATAATTCATAATGCTTGCCTCCTCCACACGACACCAACATCATATGCTTGACAATTAAAAGAGAGAAAAATGAATGATTTATTTGATAATATGGTTTATTTCTTCATTTTTATTGTAGAAAAATAAATTGTATATCCAACCTTCATAAATTAAAGTATCATAAAACAACGTTTTGCAAAAAATTAGAAATGAGAACGAGAAAAAGAAAAAATTAACTTATTTTGTTGTTTATGAAATTTCTATACAATTTTGGAAATGTTCCTACAAATAAAAAGAGAAACAAGAAACATATTTAATTGTAAAATATTTAGACTTCTTAAGAAAATTAGAAACGATAAACCAGAAACATGAACGTTAGGGCTCGATAACGTTCTCATTTCCAATTTTCATAAAAAATTTAAGCATTTTACAATTAATTATGTTTCTTGTTTCTATTTTTTAAGACATTCTCAAAATTTATAGAAATTTAGAAACAACGAAAACAAGTTTATCTTATTTCTTGTTTCCATTTCCAATTTATTTCAAAACATAAATAAAAATCATGTCTTATCATACTTGAATTCTTGGATGTTGGATTCTTGCCATTTATTTTTCTTCATTAAAAATAAAGAAACATAAATAAGAAATATAAACATTACCAAACGAGTCCTTAGTAAACGGGCCCAAAATATCTTCTAACTTTTTGATGGTGGTAAGTAGAAAGATACATATTTAAGTTTTATATGAAACATTATTAGTGAATTGTCATATTGTAGTAGGTTAACCTTCATGATTTTCATCTCAAAATCAAATGATAATAGAAGACTGACCCACGTCTATTATAATTTTTTTTAGGCGAGTCCATGTATGTTACTCAATTTGGTGCTGGACCAGGTCGATTGTGGAGAAATTTCCTATGGCATATAAGAATTTCTATTTTAATTTTTTTGACAAAATATACCCAATAGTTCATAATTTGGATAATTTACTCAATTTAGTTAAGTGCTCTTGTGAAATTCTTAATGTTATTAAAGTCATTTGTTAAAAATTGTTAGGAACAAATTAAGTCATGATTGAATTATTGTTTCATTAAAGTTATTTGAATACACAAATCATGCTCTTTCACACATCAAATTCAACTATTTAGTTCATCCCTCACATTTTCAGTCACCCATCAACAAAATTCGTTTTTTCAAGCAGTATCCTCAATGTCCAAATATGTTGTGAAAGAATAATTTAATGAAACATAAGGTTTTGGGTAATAAATTTTAAAAATTCTTTTTTTTTTCAAAGGAGCTCAATTGAGAGTTTTCCATACCTATTAAAAATAAAATCGAGGATTTTAATTATTAGGACCAAATTGAACTTGTCTAAAAAATTAGGGACCATACGATATATTTAGCCTAAATTTTTAATGAGTTTTTTTAGTACAACACATGTGGTGAGCAGATGTTTTTTATTTGACTAATTGTATCTTTTTTTTAGTACAACTTTTGGTTAGAGATAGATGTCTTAACCACTTGAGTTATGCTCGATTTATCGACTAATTGTATCAATTATGTAAAATCAAATACTAAGTCACTAGTTACATTTTGATTGAAAGTTAGATTTCTACCTCTATAATTATTTTACTAAAATAATAAAAAATAAAAATAAAAACAAAAAAGCTAACGAAAGCTAAATCTAATTGTCCTTTCGCAATCATAAATGGGGCCAATTTATTTTATTTATTATTTTTACTTTTACTTTTTTGAAATAATAGATGGCCAACTTGCACCTTAAAAGTTTGAGCAAGAGATTTCATTTTTGCCAATATATTTTAAAATTTAGTGCGATGATAAATAGTTATTTCTTCAAAACTAAATTTAAAAAATTGGAAAACCAACTAATGAACAACTAACAACACACCATTCAAAATCAAACCATAAAAATGTTGAATAAATTGAGTTGTAAAAATACATGAAGCTAGTAACACAATTTAATATGTAAATTCATCTAAAAGGTATACAATATGACCTAAAGAACCAATAATCTACCAAAAGAAAAAAACAGTTTAATCCCAACTATTAAGAATGCACCTATCTAACATTATTAAATCTTTAATTAACCAAAGATTTCCTTCTCAAAAAATAAATAAAAATATAATCGAAGATTTATTTAATGAAATAAAAAGGAAATTAATATCAGATATGTCGATATTGAACTAAATATATATAAATTAAAAGTTTTTTTTCTTTTTTTTTTACTGATTTTAAATATAAAGTTTGTTATTTGATGTTGAATAATTCATAAATATTTAAGATAGTTGAAAATTATTAGGAACTCAAGAGGACAAAAAAAGAAAAGAAAAAAAAAAGCTATAATGACGTAAAGTAATGATTATGATTTAAATCCATAAGTTTGAATTTGGTAAGGTGTCTCTTTTGAGTAATGGACCCCGCCCATATTTGCCCATGCTGCTCCCGTCCCTCCTCCCTATTGTCTATTTGCAAAAATAGCTGTTCAAAGGATCAACCACTAATATGGCATAATTTTAGCTGTTTCAATAAAAAGAGGAGAAAAAAAAAAAGAATGGAACTATAATTTTAATTTTAATGTCCAATAATTTGGAAACTAAATTATAATCTTTATTTTTATACTTTCGTTGGAGGAGAAAATACAATATAACACGTGGGCTAGATAAGTCAGCTCGATGAGGTTAAACTCGTCTAGGAGAAGACTGATCTACCACATAGGTCGAGTTGAAGGCCAAACCAACTAGAGAATCACCCAAGTGTTCTGTAACCGACTTGAAGACATTGACTTGCAATTCGACAATTTATTTGGGTCTAATAGTCCGTGACCACCTGTCAAGGTGGTTCGAGCTACCTTGTCCTCCCTGGTTGCCTACAAAAGGAACACTACTCCACTCATTTAGGATGTCATTCTGTCCGAGTACGACCTATTTTAGCTCAAACTCTCACTAAGAGCTTCAAAGTGTTCTCCGTGCAGGTCACTCTCATGTAGTGCTTACTCTTTCACAACTCATTTCGATTCGACGCATACTGATCTATTCAGTTTGGCAGAATCCTACATCAATATTTTTAGTTTCGTAAAAATTTTATTATCGTCCCTACATTTTGAACAAAAATGCAGGATACTAAATTATTTGCAGTACTCTCGAAAATAGAATCTTTTTAATTTCTAAACTTTAAAAAGTTTTAATTTTACTTTTATGAAATTGAAATTTTGATTTTAGTCCCTATTACTAATGTGATTATTTAAATGTACATATGATGATTTGACGTAATAGAGTACTCAAAACATGTGTTTGATAAAATAAGGTTTTATGAACAAAAACTCTTTTAAAAATATAATTTCTAAGTCTGTTCCATTGAACTTTTTGACTATCTATTTTAGAATCCTCTCTTGTGCTTAGTTTGGTATCAAACAATGCTACTTAAGTAATCATACTTATTACAATAAACATCATATCTGAGTAAATCAATATTAAAAACTAAAGAGAGTCCAAAGAATAACTTATAATTCCACCTTTTTTTTATTACACTCCAAATTAAAATATCAGTAACCCCATGACATTTTTTCCACATTTCAACTAAAATAATATCTAGAAAATATATCTTAACGAAATTCATGTTTTCGACCTAGGTAAGTTGCTACACTCTTAAATTATTAAAACATAATATCACTTTAGGAAACTTAATTATTTTGAATATTAATAAATCACCTCTCATATTTAATTTCTATTACTCTTTACCAATGGTAGAGACATTTGGTAAATTTTAATAAAAAATTTGAGACAATAATAAAATTTTAAAAATTATGAATTTTAAATTAAAATGAGGTTAATATTCATACTTTAACTTAAACTATACACATACTTTTGATAATTGCTAATCTAATCTTATTAGATTAGAGTCAAATAAATGCTTTTGGAGACAAAAATTTCCTATATTGTGTATGTTACTTTAAAACTAAAAGAAGAAATTAGAAAATAATAATAATAATAATAATCATATGATTTTCAAGTCAACTTTAGCTTACGAGTGCAGTTATTGCCAAATATTTTCTTCTTGACGTACCTATTTTATTACTTTACCAATTTCTGGATATTCTTTTTCCTATTTTATATTTTCCTCTCTTTTACTGCTTTTAATAAATTAGAAATATTCTTATTTGTACTCGTTTCTTAAATGTCACACTGACAAAGAGGTGTTATGTTAGTAGTTGGGTGGAGGCATCCACGCTGTACAACACAGAATTTGGGAGTGATGGTCATGAGAAGCTGATCACTGACACATTTAATCTAGCTAATAATGATAATTCAATCCATCAATTTTAGTGTGTAACCATATATTTTTTCATAATTTAAAATTTATTACAATTTACCTCCTCCCAACAAAATTTCATCGCAATTAAAGTGTCGATTTTTATCTTATAATAATTCAATCTTTGTAATTTATAAACATATTTGGTCTCTACTTCTCGACATGATTAATATTTGATGACAATCTGGGACGGTATATCAAAATAGATGAATGACATATATGATGATTTGATAAACATGATAGCATTTTCCTCTCTCCATATATACTTTCTAGTCG